GCAATAAAACCAGAACTCTTCTCCTTTGTTTCTAAGGTACGGAATATGAAAAGTTTTCCTGTAGTGCACTGTTTTAGTAATATTTCTGTGTTTTAGTACTATTTCTTCCTTTGAGTCACTTTGTTCTTTATTTTCACAACTGTTTTTTCTTCATTACAAAGGATCTGAATACCTTGATCTTTATAATTTTTTCAATTCTCTGTAAATTCACCGTGGAAACTTTAGGTAATCTCAGCCAAGAGAACTCTCCACTATCTAATGCCTTTTCAGTACAAACTTATCCTAAATGACAAAGCTATAAATTTCAGATTTCTGTATTTTTACTTTCTAGTGCTCCACTTACCAAAGAATAAACTTAAAAAGAAATAGAAATGCATAAATTACAGATTAATAAGCGTGAACAGCCTGCAGCCCTCTTGGCTTGTATAAACAGAACATTTCACAACTAAACACACTGAAATGAGTCAAGATTTCTGTCAAAATTGAGTCAAGGTTCTCTGAAATGTAAAGTTTTTGTTGAAAATTAAAAATCCTAAAACCTACCAGCTGTGTGATTTGATATGGCAGTGATGAAATTTGCACGCTTCAAGTTTTTTCACTCAGTAGTTGTCAACCATGATAGTGCCATTTTCTAAAATCTTAGCGCTGACAAATATGAACATTACCTGAGCCATTAAACATTTGTAGTAGGAGAATCTCAGATTTTTCAGAAGGGAAACTTAGTCCTATTTCACATAGACAAAGAAACAGATCGTGGTAGTTATCTTCTTAGTCTTCAATTGTTATCCTAGTAGCAAAGAGAAGTTATTTTCTTGATGTTAATATAAACTTTTTACTTAGTGACTCTGGCACTAATGTTCAAATAGTGCAAGTAGAGATGAATGGCAGACATCTCTTCTTTGGCATCTTCACCCTACTCATTAACTCCCACTTCCCATTGATCAGAACTAAAATCCAGACTTTCGAGGAGATAGCAGTTTGGGTTTTTGCTTACACTAGTGTTGCCTTGCACATACTGGGAGACTTTAGGGAGTTCTTAGAGTTGAGTGAGGAAATCAAGTCCTTGCAGCAAAGAACTTCTTTTATACTTACTTTATATATGGATCATATACCATCCCTAAAACTCCATTCCATCCTTTTTTCTGTGGGAAAGACTGCATATCTGTCACACTACATTTGAGGCATAAGCATTTATGTGACTTGTCTGCAGGATGAAAAACAGATTGCTTATCAGCAGCTGGTGTTTTCAAGATGTGTATTTGTGTTCTGCTCTAGCAAAGTCCTCTTCAGCAGTTTCTCAGAACAAATAAATCACCTGTAAGCATTCTTCCTCTAATATAGAGCATATCAAGCAAAAGGAGGGAGGCAAGGGCTAGAGCATATCTGATACAGTTAGAGCAGAAAAGGATCTCAGTGTGTGTGAATGGCCATTGCATGAGTATAGTACACCACAAGACAGTTATGGTAAGGAGCATTTTGATTGCACATCAAGATTTGTAATGATTGCAGGACAGCTGTGAGCGCTTCAGCAGATTGTTGCAAAAAAAGGTGACTTAGTGGACAGACAAGAAATTAATGATATGTTTTCAGGTGTAGAGGGTATATCTGAGACAGGATGATTTTGTGATCCCTTTAAGTGATCGAGAGTATCAGCAGATGAGTAATCCTACTTACACATCAGAACAGACCAATATAATAGTAATTCAGGATAGTAGTAGCCACCTCTTATAGAAAACATGACATATCACTGCCCATAGATCAAAAGAAGCTTTGGTACCTAAATGATCCATTTGTTGTAAAGTGAAAATTATTCTAGAAAGGATACTTTAAATGGGTTAGTGAAATAAATTGAACTTTAGCTCTCAAAGATGAAACTAACTCTAGCTGTATATTAATCCTGGATCCGTGTTTATTTTCCAACACATTTGCATGCCATTTCCATAATTTCTTAGCAGTATAACATTTTTCAGTCAGTCATGCTGACTCAGCCAGTCAGGCATTGCAGCGTGTAAAATGTTGTGCCTAGCTCCTGTGAAAATACTTGGTGATATATTTCTTTGTGGTGTTTACAGAGGCTTTAAACCATCAAAGGCTTTGAAGTCTTTGTAAATTCCCTCTTATTTCTTTTAACTTCATTTTCAGAGGTTGTCTCCAACACAGTAATATTGATTTTGCAGCGTTTTAGCAAAGTAAGTAATCTCAGTGTGAGTCTTTATACTGGAATGAATAATCCTATTAGAATTGTCAGATTGATGATGAACTCATTTGCTGAAGTTCCTTCATATGCTTAGAAATCCGTGTATTGAAATGTAGTGATCATTTAAAAAAATTACTTCAAACATTTTCAATATTTATTGTAATATTGATTACAATATTTATGGAAAATGGTCAGCATTTGGTTTTAAAACTTAATAATTTCAAACTAAAATATTACCAAATTTGATTAAATAATTTTGAAAATAACTTCTTGATGACTAAGTGGAAGTAAAAAATTAACAAATGGTTTAAATACAATATCATAAAGCAAATTAAACACAACATCATCCAGATAAGTAAAGTCATTTCATATGTAGTCCTAGATGTATCAGCTTGACTGCAAAGTGAAAAAAAAGTCATTTGAATATAAGAAATCTGGGGTTTGAAGAACAGGTGTTATTGTCTAGATACACAATATTCTTTAAAATTTTCATTGCCTTTTTCTATTTTTAATGGGATTTATTTTGAAAGATGTTTACTGGTACTAAAAAAAAAAATTACTGACAATTTTTCCTAGTATGCTGTACCTTATTTATTTCAGTGGCTTCCCTTTGCTTCTATTTGTCCTGTGATTCATACCAAGACTTTCTGAAATGCTTTAAAGCTATGCTTGAGGAAGTTCCAGTATTTGTTTTAAACACATTTTCTGTTAAAAGTATATTTCTTGTTCTAGTGCCTAGAGATGGCAAACTCATGGCTAGGCTTCGCGAACGAAGATCTCGGAAGGCTCTATCCACATTTGCTACAGGCACGCTGGTGGCTTATGAGGCCAATACGTGACAGACATATCCGATTACAAAAGGCACAGCAGAAAGATTCCTTAGATGGTGTATTCTGCAAGACACGGTTCTTTCTGCGTTGCCTTTTTTCCTCAAGAGTGATCCTGCGAGTGTTCTCGAAGGAGACAGCAGCGTTATAGATGGTGTGTCTCCAGGCCTCCCGATTTGAGGCCAGAGTAGACCAGTTATGGTGATCAATATGGCCAAGGCTGAGATGTTGTTTCAGGGAGTCCTTGTATCTTTTCTTCGGGGCTCCTCTCATGCGGCAGCCAGTGGCAAGTTCACCATAAAGCAAGATCTTAGGGAGGCGGTGGTCCTTCATCCTGGAGACGTGCCCTGCCCATCGCAGCTGCGTTCTCAGTAACATGGCCTCAATACTTGTGACAGCTGCTTGCTCTAGAACAGATGTGTTGGTCACATAGTCTGACCAGTGGATGTTTAGGATTGTACGGAGGCAGCGTTGATGGAAGCGTTCTAAGAGACGCAGGTGGTGGCGGTAGATGACCCATGATTCAGATCCATATAAGAGAGTAGACAACACTATGGCTTTGTAAACACTGATCTTGGTACTTTTCTTCAAGTGTTTATTACGCCATACTCTTTTGTGGAGTTTTCCAAAAGCACTATATGCCTTTGCTAACCTGTTGTCTATCTCTCCGTCGATCTCACCATCTGAGGAGATGAGGCTACCGAGGTAATTAAACTGTTGGACTGATTTGAGCTCTGATTGGCCAATGGTGATGTGGGGATGATGGGGGACTTCTTGAGGTGCAGGCTGATGGAGGACCACAGTCTTCTTTAAGCTGACTTCCAGTCCAAAGAGCTCAGCAGCGTCTGCAAAGCAGGATGTTAAACGCTGCAGAGCTGCTTCTGTGTGGGCCACAAGGGCGGCGTCATCAGCATAAAGCAGCTCCCGGACAAGATGGTTTAAGGTCTTAGTGTGGGCCTTCAGACGCCTTAGATTGAATAGACTTCCATCAGTACAGTATCGAATGTAGATACCGTCCTGATCATTGAGGTCTGCTGTGGCCCTTTGGAGCATCATGCTAAAGAAGACGGTGAATAGGGTAGGAGCGAGAACGCAGCCTTGTTTCACACCATTCTTAATTAAAAAGGGCTCAGAAAGTGTGTTGTCATATCTGACTTGGCCGTGCTGATCCTCATGGAGTGAGATGATCATTTTAAGGAACTTGGGGGGACAACCTAAGCATTCCAAAATCTGCCACAGACCTTTTCTGCTCACAGTATCAAAAGCCTTGGTGAGGTCGACAAAGGTTACGTAGAGAGCTTTGTTCTGTTCCCTACACTTCTCAGAGATGCCAAACTAGTCTGATGCACTTTTACATACCTTTTAAATAAAAATACATAAATAAAAATAATAACTAACAATAAAATATACATGTTTTCAGTGAAAACTTGTTCTGTACACGCGAACTCACTTTGCAACTCAAAGTAGCTATTACTTGCATTTACAAGACTTGTGTCACTGTAAATCAAGAGTATTTCTAATAGAGTTCATGATGTTAAATTACTGTAAAAATAAATGACATCTGAAGTCAAGCACTTAAAAAGCATTATATGACAAAATCATACAAATAAAAAGAAATATTACTTTATTGTTTAAAAATGTTTGAACCATTTGTTTGAACCATTTGTATTGTAGAATATCTAGATGTCCTGTCACATGCAAGGAAAATAATGTTCTGATATCTCATTTTTCATTAAGATATACTTTTTTTGTCCTAAATTTTATTTCTCAAGCTCTTGGTATCTGAGCATTGCAGAAGAAAAGCAGGAAAAAGTTTCCTCTGCCTATTTTTAAAAATGATTACCTGCAGTAGTCTCTTTTACAAGTTTTTATCATTTCCTAAATAGAAAATAGAACAAAGTTCTTCCATGATGTTAAATATTGCAGATTCAGCATGTGCAGCACAGACAAAATGAACCAGTTATTACACACATAGAAAAATTTTTTACTTTCTTTTATTGGATGGCTACAGAAAGCAACTTTAGGCCAGAAAAAAAGTCAACACGGTGCTTCAAGGTTAACTACATGTTAAGGTTCTCTGTATGAATCTGTATGCCAAACACTTAGGGGGAATCAACATGTACATGACTACATATAGTTGGAGGGTTTCGAGTCCAAGTCCTAAGAAATATTTGAAAACCAGCCTGTACTTATTCTTGATTGATTGAGTCCAATCTTCTTATAAAGTAGATATTTTGGTCTTCATGAAGGAAGAAAAGTCCTTGGAAGAAATATGACAAATGAAATTTCATTCTTTCTTCATACAGGGAAGAGGAGTTTGCCCAGGACTTGAGCCTGTAAAAGGCAAGGATTAATTGTGGGAGAAGAACCCAGAGACCAGAGTGTCTTACTTGTGAACCTAACCTTTCCTATGGATCATGTAGGTTATATTTTCTGGGTTTGGCTTAATAAATCATGTACTCTTCTGCACGTAATTTTTATATGGTTTCAGCAGATGGTGTGAGGAACAAAATAATGGCCTCAATATGCTTTTGGGAGAAGCAGTATGCTTACTTGCTGTAACCTTTGGAGTGCACTAAAATTGGGTCTTCAATTTTGTGTACATGCTTTAATTGCTGAGCTATTGCATAGGAGAGGAGGGAGTTTCTTGTAATTTGGCACAGTTAGTTTTTTCTCTTGTTTTGATTGATTTCTGCAAGTGACTTTTGCACCCTCTATGATACACTAGGACTGTGGTGAATGGGATTGCTATTGATGATTTAGAAAAGGGAGGATTTCCTTCTGCATTTCACCAGAATGTAGGTATGTTAGCACTGTCACTGGCTTTCCACCTTAGGCGAAAATTCTCCGTAGAAACGTTATCCTGGTTAGTAAAGAAAACCTATGGACAAATGCTCCTACAAGGACCTGGCACACTGTCTTGGGAGGAAGAATACTCTTCAGAGCAGGTTTTCAGTTGTGTGTAAATGAGGCCATGCATGGTATATAGGTGCCTGCAAGAAGTTTCAGATTACTTGTTCTTCATCACCCCTTCAGAAGCTCTGCTGGATCTGGCTGTGATGGAGCTAGCTTTCTTCATAGTAACCCTTTGTATCTGTGAGTAAAGCAGCTTTATTTTCCCTACTCTGTCACTCCAGTGAGGAGGCTGGGGGTGCACAAGACACTGGAAGGAGACAGTCAGAACAGATGCCCCCAACTGATAAAGTGATATTCCATACCATATGGTGTCATGCTCAGCAATAAAGCTGAGGGAGGAGGGTTTTTCTTGGGAGGTAGTAATTGTTTGGAGACTGGCTGAGCCTTGGTCTCCATGTAGGAGGAAGTGGTGAGTCCATCACTTGATTTTGCTATGTGTTTTTTTCATCCCCTTCCTCTTTCCTTCTCTTATTAAACTGTCTTCATCTTATTCCATGAGTTATCTGACTTTCACTCTTCCTGCTCTGTCCCAAAACTCCGTGGGCGTGGGGAGTAAGTGAGTGGCTGTGTGGTGTTTAGCTACTGGCTGGGGCTAATCCACCACAGAAGCTCTGTCATATACAGAGAAAAAGTCATATTTCCGTATAAAGAGAAGATAACATGCATGATGGAACCTGGTCAGCTCAGGGACTTCTAACAAAATGGAAAGAACCGTTATGGTTCACAACATTTTTTCTGATTCATGTTATGCTGTGTCATTTAATCCCGCAAGGCTTTAGTGTAAATGCATACATGGTTTCTGAATTACAGAACAGCAGTGGTGTGCTATTTTCTAGGGAGGCCATTCTGCCCTACAGTACTTTACAGTTCATTTCAATGGGAAAAATGGTCCCATTTAGCTTTTCCCACATACTTAAGTTTCCTCTGCTGCTGAGTGTTTGAAATGAGAGTCTTACTCTGCTCATGGCAACAGTTTTCTAGAGCTGTTATCTAGATGTGTTGTCAAGATGCTGTTTCATAAAATCTAAACCCTGGCAGGGCATTCTGCTCTCCATACCCTTCAAGAGAGAACTCAAGGACTGCTGTCACCTTGTGATGCAAAGCACTGTCTTCCAGATAGGCAGCAATTCAGACAAATCCCTTTGCTCAGTATCTGTCATTGAATATCTCTGTTTCATGACTTAATAGTTTCATTAAATCATTTTTCTGAGTTTACTTAACATACTCTCTTGACTACATATGATATTAAGGATTTTCAGTCACATCATTTGGACCAAGCACAACAACTAACATAAGTGATCTGAAATAACTGAATTTTAAGAAATGGAATTGCAATTATAAAAAATTAGTTCTAGAAAAAAAAAATACGGCACTTACCAGTTGTGGGACAGCATTACTAGAAGCAATAATTATTCATTGGTGAGGTAAATTCAGCAAACCTGAAAAAAGATAAACTGAATTTCTGTTCTCAGCTTTCTCCTTTTAAGAATTGAATATTGATATCTTCATGTACTGCATTCAAAATATTTGTATTTCATTTGCTGTTGATAAATCCCCCTTCATTTCATAGAATGTATTTTTCTTAATTTAAGGCTAAGAAACAAAGTTGAGCTAAGAAATGTTAGCTTGTTATTTATAAACACAAAAGGATGCTAAAATCAAATAGCAGAAAAAAGAGAGCATATAACAACCCCAGAGTCCTCCACCTCCTTCTCTTTCTATCTCCCTCCCTTCACAGAGATCAGGTGTGTGACATACTGTAGAATGGGAGAAATATGCTAAAAGTTTTGATACTGCAATTAGTTTTTTGCTTTTTAAGTTCATAATCTGATTTTTGCTGATGTCGGTTTGCAGAACATTATGTTGATGTTTGTTCATTCTGAATTGTCTTATGTAAACCCAAACTGCATTTCTGCACCTGCCTCCTGTGTCATGCATTTTTTGGTTAGAAATTTCTACTGTAGAACTTCAGTTATAATCAGATCTGCAGTAGCAAGACCCATAACTGAAAATGTAACGAACAAACAGGGGGATAAGATCAAACTTCAAAGTAACCCAAAGAAGCTACAGCAGTAGGGGTTGAAGGCAGTGGGATCATTTGAATAATAATAAATGTATTGCCCTGATTTCACTTCCAGCAGTGAAAAAATGAACTCCAAGGACATAATTAAAAATATGACTATTTACTGCATCATGTGACCAAAAAATATAAGACAAACTTTTAAAGCATATTTTTTTGTGATCCCTCTTGAAATGATTCCCTTTTCTCCCCATACACCTTTCTGTGTATACCACTTGAATCATCCTTTCTGATAGAAGCAGGTAGTAGAAAAACATGCATTTGAGTAGTAAATGCAGAATATTCAACATATGAGAACAATAAATCACCCCTAACATTACAACACATAGTAGAAGAGCAGTCGACTGCATTCCTGAATAGTGGACTAACACTGGCCACTTGTCCAGCCAGACAGTCACTACATTCTCTCCTCTTTCTTCAAGTGTTCTTGGAACACAAGGAAGTAACCAAGACAGCTAACAAAATGAAACACGTGCAAAAGATGGCATGTATTATATAGGTTATCATCTTTATGTAGTAATAAAATTTATTTTTAAAAAAATAAACTAGGCCAAACCATGTCATTGTCCCTGACAGCAATCAGTGTTAGTGTTCCTGTTAAAGACAAAAGTGCATAAGCACTGTATAAAAGTGTGCAGAATTGAAGGAAATATAGCAATTACAATGGTTAAAATCTGAGTAAAATAGTAAAATATGCATGCATGCATGCATGTGTTATGTAATAAAAAAGAAGTGACTTTATCTATGCAATCTGTAAAATTAGAGCTGAGGGAATTATTGATTTGAAGATCAAGTAAATTTACAGTAAAATATACATGTTTTATAATATAATGTAATAAGAAAATAAGGTTAGTCAAACTTTTCCAGCATTGGCATAAGCTGAGATCCCAGCAAAACATCTAGAAACAGACCAGGTTATGTGGCAGATGCTAATCATGCACTAATAAGGGATACCTTCAGCCATGTGTGATTCTTCTGTAATAAGCAACCCACAAACTATTAGTTTTTCGGAGGTATGTCCAGCCTCTTTTTCAACCTATGTAAACTCTGACTGTCTCAACTACTCACCATGTGAAAACCACCTCTGTTTTTTTTATTTTCATCCTGACATCTGCTAGTTTCATGTGATGCCCCTTGTGCTGGAAATGAAGGTAGGTAATTTATCCTTGTCCACACTATCCACATTGTTAGTAATTGTATAGATTGCTACCCTATTCTTTCACTCCTACCTTAGCTGTCTCACTAAAGAAAGTCAGTTAATATGGATGGAGCTTTAAGCAACCCAGTTTAGTGGAAGGTGTCCCTGGTCATGGCAGGGATTTTGGAACTACATGACCTTTAAGGTCCCTTCCAACATAAACCATTCTATGATTCTGCTATGCTTATGTAGTTAGGTCCCTAAAGATACCGAGCTTACTAGAGATAAGGAGTCTAAGTATATGGGATAGTTTAATAAGAAGTCACAGAATAGATGAGGTTGGAAGACACCTCTAGAGATCATCTAGTCCAGCATCCCTGCTTACAGCATGGTCAGTTGCAGCACATTGCTCAGAAACAAATCCACCTGGGTTTTGAATATCTCCAAGGATGGATACACCACAATTTATCCAGGCAACATGATCCACTGCTATACAGCCTGACAGTAAAAAAATCCACTTTTTCTTGCATTTTAATGGAATTCTATGTATTTGAATTTATGTCCATTGACTCTTTTCCTGTCACTGGGAACCACTGAGAAAAACCTTTCTCCATCCTCTTTGCTTCCATCCATCAGGTATTTATACACATTTATAAGATTTCCCTGAGTCCTGAGAAGTAATTTGATTGACAACACAACAATGAAAGTAAGATTAAAAAAAAATTATCTGGGGATTTTAGTTGCAAACTAAAGTTGAATTAAGGAAGTCTATGAATTGAATAAATAGGTTAAAAAAATGAAAACAACACACAAAAAAGCCACAGGAACTTACCTTAGTTTTTATCAAAATAGTAATAATTGCTCACGTTCTGACAACTTATCTGGTTTTTGATTTAAAAAAAGAACAGAAAAGGATTCAGATTATTCTATGTTTTCCATCAAGAAAAGGTGGTGAATGGGTGTAATATAAACTTTGATTTTCATTCACACTTTAATGTCACCTCAGTACAATTATTATTAGGGGTCATTTCATTATTTGCTTTCATGGAATTCTGTAAAGCTCAAAGATATTTTTATACACACAGGATTTGAATGTCTGTGCTGATGCCTTAAGACTCTTTTAGTTTTTTTGACTTTGCTAATTTTTATAAGCTTTATATGTAATTATAGTAGAAGTAGATTTTAGAAGTAACTATATTGTATTCCTCACCCTTTAGCACCCTTTAGTTTACACATTCCTCAACCCTCCTACCCCATTCCATGTTCCCTATATCAATCCTACCCCTGAATTCAGTGCCAATGTTTAGTCTCCTGTCAAGGCAAGGTCTATGCTGTTTGGAGTACACTCATATCTTGGCCTGAACAACAGAACAGAGTCAAGAACTGGGTGACCGTGTACCCTTTGTGCTCTGAGGATGATGAGAATGATGAAGAGGGGGTCCCGAAATACACCCCAGACTCAATTCCCAGGGGGTGGGCCCAGGGCAGACCAGAGCAAAGGCTACAGGGTAGAAACACTTGGGATTGGACAGATGGTATTATAAAATGTAACATCTCAGGCACAGCCGGCGCACGTCCTGTAACGTCTATGCCTTGGCACAAATTAAACCCTTTCCTTATCTCACCCTCAATTAACTGCTCCTGAGTTTTTTCTTTAACACCAGCTGAGCTGGCATCAGTGCTAATAATAATAATAAACGTAATAACTGCAAAAAAATTTACAACCCCAAATCTCAGCAAGTAAGATCCAGTCATTAATGTCATATGAAATGCCTTTACCCAGGGAGTTATTATTATTTGTTATTCCATACAACACAGTCTTAAGAACTATTTCATATCAATAATGGGGTAAATCTAGAATGAATATGGCATCTGCAGAACAACATTTTTACTACTGTAAAGGATAGATTGTGTTTAGGTGGATATGGAAATCTTACTTTTAAGGCAAGAATATTTTCAAGGCAGTCTCTAGAATAATATTATCAGTAATCTGCTGAGTCATTTATTGGTCTTTGGTCCATAATGAACTCTGCTTCCAAAACTTAGAGTAAATCATTAGTAACTGTGATTTTATTTTGAACTGCAAAATTTAGCCAATTTGTAAAATCAGTAAAAGTCATGAAAATATAAAATATTCAAACATATCTTTGTGCAGGAGTCATCATTACTGTCATTGCTTTACAAATCCTTGCTATTTGGCTCACTGTTGTTATCGCAGACCTATTTTCCAAGAATAGCAGTAATTTCAGATTCATGTAGCAGCATTCTTAAATCCAAATATTAGCAATTGTTCATATTCTAACACCACAAAGAAATTGTATGAACTTCCCTAAGTATTAGTATTTTCACCTTATTTGGGAGGGCAGGGAAGACTTTTTCCTTCTCTGAAATTCCATTCAGATGTTCTATTATAAATGTGTCTTCAGTTCTGTATAACTGTCATGTAAGTTTAATAGCTAGATTTCCTGAGATACTTCCATTCTTAGCTGAATACTTTACACTTATATTTTTATTTCAGCACCACTACTGTATGTCATAAATATTTAACTTAAAAAGTGGATTTGTTTGTGTTAGTGAAGTGTTTCAATGATGTCAAGTGGAGAAAGTGTTTTATGGAATGTCTTGTGATTTGCACTGTTGAGACATTTGAGAAAATGTTAAATGTTTGTGCACCAGTAAATTATGTTCTGTGCATTTTAAGCATTTTGTTAGCTTCTTGTCACTCTGGCAGTGGTTGAGGCTTCAGCAGAAAAAGAGACATCCATTTTAACATCTTGACTGTGCAAGGGTTTGCAGAGATTTTTTTTTAAGATGTAGTGTTTAAAAACTTAAGTAGTGATTGGATACAATTTACAAGTGCACTGGAGTTTCCCTAATCCTATAGACTTCAGGTCATCTCAGATGCCTTGATATATTTTAAATTTTGCAAATTTAGTATTTGTCTAATTACCTTTTAAAAATTAAGTTACTAAGAACCTGACAATCATATTTTAGAAAAGGAATGAGCAAACATGGAATTAAACAAAAATTTCCTGGATCCTAGGTTAAGGATAAGGGAAAAACATTTTTTTTCCTTAGTTCTATAGAGCTGTTTACAAAAAAAGACCCCTATTAAGTTAAAATTATTTGATTGCTCTTCAAAAAATGTCTTAAAATATTTTAATTATGATTTTATAGGGAAATTGCATTAGTAATTACATATTATTTTTTTCTAAAATCTTCCTGGATGTTTATTAATTATGTGATAGAAACATCTCAGTTACAAACCTCTTAAATGTCAAAAATATGCATTTGATATTCAATATGGTATTAATTTAACATACAGCAACTCATTCTCAAATACAGATTTTGTGTAGCAGCATGTTTAAGACCACATTTTCTGTCTACCCATTTTGGAAGTCAGGCTCACATACAGACTGTCTTGCTTAGAACAAATGCTAGCCTATTCAAGAGAGCCAATGTTCACCCAGTATCGACTACAAATACATAGAATTTCATATGCAAACAGGCCACATGATGTTAAAAAGTCAAACACTGCTCTCACTTATGTTGACTTTACTAGTAAAATACATACAAAGGACTAAACAGTTGCTCAGAGCAGAGTTTGGCTACTGGACTGCACATCTGTAAATGAGCAGCATCAGATGTTTGTTTTAGCTATGGCAAAAGGACAGAAAACATTGCCATGCATATGCTACATGAGGAAGCATTGTTAATTACTTCCAGTAGTGTGAATCTTGTATGAATCAAATCTCAGTTGTAACTAGTAGAAAACTTTTTTTCCCAGTTCTTTGTTTTAGGCCCACTCTGCAGTATCAAATTGCCTTTGATAAACTGTAAGGATGTACAAAAATTTAAACCACAATCTTCCACAATAAATTTCTAAGCTGGGAAATGGTCCCCATCACTTCATCTGCTTCCCTGTCCTGTGAAGAGAGAGCTTTTGTTGGTTTAGTCTGTCTTTCAAGGCACACAAGATACCTTTGCTGATAATGATAAAACCCACAAACCTTCCTTGTTGCCATATGCTGTATCTCTTCCTCAGCTCTCTGCTGGTAGAAGCTATGCCAAATGTGTTTTTAATGCAGCGCTGTCCAATTGTACTGGATGATCCAAAATTTATTTAAACTATACACCTTTCAAAGTCTCATTGGGAGATTAATTTATACAATGTTGAAATATCTTTACTTTTCCCCAAGAGAGTAGAGGGAAATTTGTGTTTGTTAATATCAGACTTGTGAGCTAAGTATGTCTGATAGTTATTAATTCTTCAGCAGTACAAAAAGTAAACTGTAGATCTGAGGTGAATAAAAGACTTCTGGTTCATGAAAGACTCAGGTTGACCTTGGCAGTGCCATTAATCATGAGTAGAGCTCAAACAGATTGCAAGGACTTTAGAAGGAGAATATAAGGATATATGCACTTCGGGAGACATAAACCATTGTCTTACAAAATGTCTATGCCCTAGATCATCAGAAAAAGTCACATGAAATAGTTCTGCAAGATATCTTCCAAGGCGTAATGTCTTGTGTGTATCTGAGCTTCTGTCAGCCACACAGTTACATTTATGCATGGATATGTACATAAAGAGTGGACAAATGTACTGTTTTGTATTTTTATTCTGCCTCTGTTTAAATATTGTCAAGAATAAAATTAATAAAGTGTCCAACCTCAAAAGGCTTTCCAAAATGTTTCCTGTGGGTATGGTAGTGATACAATGATATGCTGAACTGTAGCAGACGATCAGTGGAAAAATAACTATGTCTATAATGTATGCACATGGTATCTACAGAGTAACAGTCTACTTGCAAAGAAAAGTGATGTGGAGTTCTTTATGTGTACTTCTTTAGTGATACTTACAAGGGAAAAGGTGTCTTGGTACTAAAAATAATACTCTTTAAAAACCCTCTTCACTTTTACATTCTAATAATAGTCTTGTTTTAACAGAAGAGGGGGAAGAAAGGGAAATTTCCTTCACATAAAGGAATAGCTGCTTTCATCTTTTTATTATTTTGGAAAAATGTAATATTTGCATGAACATTTTAAATATTCATTGATGTATGCTAGGATCTTTGCCTTTTTAATTTGGGCTTTACATCTTTAGAGTGAGCAATAGCATTTTAAATTTAAATTTTCAGTGGAACTTTGGAAGAAGAAATATGATGTGTTGACATACCATTTGCTTTAAAAAACCTCAACAAACATAACTCCCAAACACAATGTACACACCCTCCCGCCCCACCCCTTAGTTTAAGTCATTAGATATATTCCAGGAAGTGATCTCCATTTTTTTTTCTAAAAGAAGTCAGCATGTTGCTATTGCTTCTTGTCTTAAAGTTTGCGTCCAATTCAGTTTTGTAACACCATCACAGCAGACTTTTTACCACTTAAATGATAAAAGTTTCAATAGGCACTTTAGTGGAATTACGAAAAAGCTACCACTCTTCCACCACGATGCCAGAAAGCTATCTTCGTTCTAAGTCAGGTCAGTAAACTGCACCTTGAAGGCCTGAGCTTGTCTCAGTGTAATTCCAGAGTAACAAAATAACAACAACAAAAACCTGTGTATGTTACAGGATTTATCATTCTTTTGCAGATCAAACCAAAACTGACAGTATGATAAATGTAGTAACTTGCTGGAAACAGTTGCTGTCTTATATAATCAAAGTAACTGTGTCATATATAAAGCTTAGGTTTATCTTTTAAATTTGTTGTTGGTTTACTTTTCTTTTTATTTCACTGTTGTAGTTGTACTTAAGTGACTTTGTCAGGGTTATAACTTTCTTCTCCGAACATGTCTGCCAAGATCTTAAAGCGAGGTCCCCAGTCACTCAGATAGTCATAATCCTGATCTGCCTCTGTAGTAAGGGAGTCTATAGAGCTGAGAGACTCTGCAACAGATCCATTTCCTTCATAAGCATAGGTTGCCAAGGAGTCATAAGGGGGGGCAGATGGATCTGCATCATTTTCCTTCAGCCTTTGATTAATGAAATCTCTTATGTCTGTGTTATCTTCTGCTGGTGGTCTGTGGCGCGGAAAACGCAAGGTGTCTGGTTTTATGTCCCTGCGTATTTTGTTATCTTCAATCACTTTGGGATTTCTCAGGGCACCTATGTCGAAAGCCTGGGTGTCCTCTTCTCCACCTCCTTCATCATCATAATGGATAACATTATCTCTGATGTCTTCTTTAGAGGTCATCAGGGTGTCCTTTTTCTTCTGCCTCCGTAGTGCTACATACAGTACCACAATGACTGTAATGAGAGACAACTGAAGTTAAGACATGCACAGAAATAATTTTGTACTCTCATGACGTATCCTTTTATCTTTCTTTGAAAGCTGCAAGCAATCAAAGGGACTTTTCTCTTTAGAAAAATGCAGCGCTTAGCAGTGCTCTAGCCAATGAAAAGTCATTTGCTCTTTGATGTATGAGTCTAACATTCCTAAGTGCTTGCTCTACTGCTGGAGGAAGTAACAAATAATTTTCCTACTGTTCTTCTTTGCAAACAAATAGAACTGGACAGGACTTCATCTTGTTAGTTCATAGAGACAGAGATAGGATTTTTTTAAAAAGTCTTCCACAGCAAAATAGAGAAAAAAAACCCTAAATTTCCACATTGAAGGGAAGAAAAAAACCCAGACAAGTGACAAACAATCACAAGAATCAAACTCACACAGTTACAAAGAGGAAAAAAAAATTCGGAACTTTCAATAATAAATAATTTGAATAATTTAAAATTTAGAATTTTTGAAGTGCAGAAAAAAATAATCCTACATTAGCTTTTTATGCGGTACACTTTGATCTCTTCAGGGATCTGCTTCAAAAAATCATGTGTTATACAGTTTTGGAGAGAAGAGCGGTCCAGGAGAGCTGGTTGATTTTTAAGTATCACCTCCTCCAAACTCAAATTTGGCCCAACCTGAGGAGCAGAAAATCAAGCAAAGGCAGCAGGAGGCTTGCATTGATGAATAAGAAGCTCTTGACTAAACTCAGTGATAAAAAAAGAGGCATCTAAGAGCTGAAAACAGATGAGCGAGCCAGGAGAAATATACTGTGGCAGTCTGAACATGCAAGAGTGCGGTTAGGAAAGACAAAGCCCATCCGGCACTATCTCACAAGGGACGTGAAGGGTGACAAGAAGGGCTTGTACAAGTAAGACAGCAAAAAAAAAAAAAAGGTAAAGGTGGGCCCATGGCTGAATGGGGGAGGGGAGCTGTTGACAAATGACATGGAAAAATCCAACCTAGTCAATATCTTCTTTGCTTCTGTCTTTATTGATAAAGTTTTCCTGCAGTAATTCCAGGTGCCTGAGATCAGAGGGTAAGTCTGGAAATAGAAAGACTAATCCTTGGCAGAAGAGGATCATGTTAGGGAACATGTAAATGAACTGAACACATAAGTACATGGGACCTGATGGGGATACATATATGAATGGTGAGGAAGATGGCTGATGTCATTGTGAGGCCACTTGAGATAATTTTTGAAAGGTCTGGGGGAAGTTTCTGAGGACTGGAGCAAGTGTCAAGCCTATCTTCAAAAAGGGCAAGAAGAATGAGCTAGGGAACTACAGGCCAATCAACCCCACATTGATTCTGAGGAATGTGTTGGAGAAAATAATTCTGGGAACTAAGAAGGGGAACAAGGCTAGCAAGCATAGATTTATGAAAGTGAATTGTGCTTAACTCACCTGATAGGTTTCTACACTGAGATAACTGGTGGATGAAGGGAGAAAAGTGCATTAATTTTATCCTACCTTTAGTAAAACTTCTGTTGTTATCTCTAAGAACAACTTCCTTAGAAAATCTGAGAAAGTGTAGACAAGCAGACAGTGAGGTGGATTGCAAAGCTGGTAAAACTGTCAGACTGCAAAGATTGTGATCAACATTTCAAAAGTCAGATGGAAGTTGGTCATTATTATTATTATACCCCAGGGTTTGAT